AGATGCAAATCAAAACAACAATGAGATATCATCTTGCTCAAGCACTAGTAGCAAAGTTCAACAAGACAGAAAATAACAAATGCTGGTGAGGATGTGGAGAAATTGGGACTCTCATATACTGCTGATGGGACTGTAAAATGGTACAACTACTGTGGAAAGCAGTATGGCGATTTCTTCAAAAGTTGGAACTAGAAATACCATTTGATCCAGCCATGCCATTACTAGGTATATATCCTAAAGAAGTAAGAGCCATGACAAGAACAGACATATGCACACCCATGTTCATCGCAGCACTACTTACAATAGCCAAAAGATGGAAACAACCTAGATGTTCATCAACCGAGGAATGGATAACCAAACTATGGTACATACACACAATGGAATACTATGCAATGCTAAAGAATAATGTAGAATCTGAAAAACAGCACATGACATGGATGAACTTGGAGCACATTATGCTGAGTGAAATAAGTAAATCACAAACAGATAAATATTGTATTAGTCCATTATTTTAAAAGTCATGGAAAGGTTTATCTATGGAAGGAAATTTTCTTTGTTGGTTACCAAGGGTGAGAGGGTGGGGGAGGGAACACTGTTAGATAGATACAGTTAAGTATTGATTCGGGTGAACAGAAGGGCAATGTAATAAATATGAGTGATCAACATGGTGGCATTGAAGAAAAGAAAGACATAGAGAGGTACATGGGAGGGGCAGACAACAAAGATGAACCCTTTTGCACATAAAGTACTACATTGTCAGTGAAAGCAAACATGGGTATACAAGTGGATAGATGGGTGGACAGGCTGAACTATTAGGTATATCTATGAAGCGAGGAGTGTACCCAAGAACATGTATAGGGTTGGCCAACAATGGTCCTATAAGTTTATGTGTATGATCTGAATTCCCAGGTATATAGTACAGCTGACAACGGACAAGGTTGTAGTCACTGCTTGGTCACAGCCAGCTACCCAGAGGGACCAAGTAGTTGAACCAGTGGGCTGAGACCATAGTTGCAGGGGACATCAACCTCAACTGGCATAATATACTACACAAAACATTGTTCTACCTCCTACTTTGGCGAGTAGTGACTGGGATCTTAAAATCTTGCAAGCTGCCATCTATATGCAATGATAGGTCTCTCCTCATCCAGAGCAAAGAAGAATGAAGAAAACCAAAAATTTATGGAAACAATTAGTCCTAGTGACTGATATACCATCCGATCTGCAGCCTGACTGAGACCAGAAGAACTAGATGGTGCCCGGCTACCACTGTCAACTACTTAGAAGGGGATCTATGTAGGAGATCCTGGATAGAGAGGGAGAACAATGTGTAACAAAACTCAAAATCATTTGGAGGAAAAAAAAAGGGGTGGAGGAACCAGGTTTGCTGGTCTGATAGAGCCTGGTGGAACCACTGAGACCATGGCCCCTAGCTGCCCTCCAGGTCTGGAATTGAACCCACACCTGTGGTTTCCAGCCAAACAAAAGACAGATATATGAGTTGAACATTTACCTGAGGTAGACACACTCCTTGGAGAGAACAATCATGGGAGAAAGAAGGGCTGCTTATGCACAGGGAGACAGCTCAGGGAGCAGGAGTGTATGGAGAGATAGACACTGAGAAGAGGTAACTATGGGGAGGAAGTGGGAGGGGAGCTGTTCCATTGTGGTAAATTGTGGTCAATGTCATGAGACAAAGTGTATGTGAACTGCTGTATGGAAAGTGAATTTGCTCTATAAATCTTCACCCAAATCACACACACACACAAAAAAAAGATTATACTGCATGGTTTAAAATGAGGTATGGTGTACATCAGGGCTATATCCCTTCACCATAGTCATTCAAGCTGTATGTTGTTGTTGTTGTTATGTGCCCTCGAGTAGGACCCAACTCCTAGCGACCCCACCTTGGGTTTCCAAGGCAGTATCACTATGGAAGTAGATTGCCCAACCTTCCTTCCAAGGAGTTGCTGGTGGGTTTGAACCACCAGCCTTCTGGTTAGCAGTCAAGTATACTGGGCAAATAATCCAAGAAGCTGGACTATATGAAGAAGAATGTGTCATCATGATTGGAGGAAGAACCATTAACAGCCTGTGATACATAGATGGCACAACTTTGTTTGCTTAAAGTGAAGATGACTTGAAGATCTTGCTGATGAAGATCAACAACTACAGTCTTCAGCATGGATTATACCTCAAAGAAAAGTAAATGAAAATCCTCACAACTGGATCAATAAGCAACACCATGATAAATGGAGAACAAGCTGAAGTTTTCAGAGACTTCATTTGACTTGGATCCATAGCCAAGACCCACGGAAGCAGCAGACAGAAAATCAGACATCATATTGCACTGGAAAAATGTGCTGTGAAAGACCTCTAATGTGTTAAGAAGCAAAGATGTCACTTTGAAGATTAAGGTGTACCTAACCCAAGCCATTCATTGTATTTCCAATCACCTCATATGCATGTGAAAGCTGAACAATGAATAAGGAAAACTAAATAAGAGTTAATGCCTTTGAATTGTGGTGTTGTCTAAGAATACTGAAAATACCACAGACTACCAGAAGAATGAACGAATCAGTCCTGGAAGAAGTGGAGCTGGAATTCCCCTTGGAAGTGAGAATGGCCAGACTTTGTCTAATCTACTTTGGTCATGTTTTCATAATGGATCTTTCCCTGGAGAAGGATATTATGCTTGGTAAGGTAGAGGGTCAGAGGAAAAAGGGAAGACCCTCAACGAGATGGATTGATGCAGTGACTGCAATGATGGGCTCAAGCATAGTGAATATTGTGAGGATGACCCATGACAGAGCAGTGTTTCATTCTGTTGTGCATAGTGTAACTATGACTTGGAGCCAACTCGATGGCACCTAACAATAACAACAAGAAAATTTATTACTTGTGTTTTACTTTTTCTCTGTATTTTCCCCTCTGGTCTAACACTTGCATTTGTTTCTGCCTTCCTATATTTATCATACAACTCAATGACTCTAATTTGAGTCATAGAAGTTCTGGTATTAGTGAAATTGCATATTTAATTCATCTATAATCACTCCTCATTTCATCCACCTTCCATTTTATTTCCTTCTTGTGACATCCTCTTAACTCATAGAGGTTACACATTGAAATTTTTTGAGAATGGTAGTTTTCCTGAAATTGTTTCTGGACCTTATAATAACTTAATTTTAAGAACATAGTCTTCCTTCCAATCTTTGCCATTTATCTTGCTCAGGGATTTGTGTCCTTTTTCCTCAGGATTTCAGTATTGAGTTTGAGGAAGTTACTCAGGAATTCTTTAAATGTTGTCAGTAAAGAGGGATTGTAATAATAACTGAATGAATTGCAAAAGAACAAAGGACTCCCCCAGAAGATTGTTAAGTGAATTTAACCACAAAAAAAGAAGAAGAAGAAGAAGAATTAATTTAACTTCCTAACCCTAACCCTAAGGGAAATGGGATGTTAAGAGAATAAGCCTTTAAGAAAATCACTCCAGTCATATGTTGATTATAAAAGAACCCCAGAGAAAACACAGGAAGATTTGTAATCATGTACAGAAATGAGAAGTCAAGATGGGAGAGACAAAATATCTAAAATTAGTACACAGTAAAGGAAGTGATAGGTTACATGAATGGACTTACATGTGAGAGTAGGTCCAATGTTACTTGGATATAATGTATGGAAAGGGCTGAAGTGTTGTCTTAGTTTCTAAATGCTACTATAACAGAAATATCACAGTGGGTGGTTTTAACAGAGATTTATTTTCTCACAGTTCAGGAGGCTAGAAGTACAAATTCAGATCACTGGTTCTAAGGGCAGTTATTCTTTGTCTGCTCTGAGAGAAAAATCCTTATCTCTTTCAGCTTTTTTTCTTTGGTTCCCTGGTGATGTCCAGGTTTCATCGGTCTTGATCCATTTGTGTTTCCTTCCCTATGTGCCTAATCTGCTCTTTTAAATCTCAGAAGTGATTGGTTTAAAATGCACTCTATACTGATATGGTCTCACTAACATAACAAATAAACTCTATTCCCAAATGGGATTACATTCACAAGTATGTTGTTGGTCATGGTAGGTGCCATGAAATAGGCTCTGACTCATAGTCACTCTATGCACATCAGAATGAAACACTGCCCAGTGCTGCACCATCCTCACAATTCTTGCTATACTTAAGCCCACTGATGGAGCCACTGTGTCAATCCATCATGTTGAAGGTCTTACTCTTTTCACTGACTCTCTACCAAGCATAGTATCCTTCTCCCCGGGACTGGTCCATTCCAACAATATGACCAAAGTTAAGGGAGACAAAGGCTGGACTTTCTCACTTTTAAGGAGCTTTCCAGCTGTACTTCTTCCAAAACAGGTTTGTTTTTTCTTCTGGCAGTCCATGGTATTTTCAGTATTCTTCTCCAACACCACAATTCAAATGCATCAATTCTTCTGCAGTCTTCCTTATTCATTAGAGTTAGAATTTACAACACATATATTGGGGGATACAAGTCAATTCATAATAACTGTATAGACAAGTTTCTAGCTTTTTAAAACAAATACTTTAAGAAATTTAATGTTGAGCTATTAAAAAACACAAGTTGCCTCTTACCTTGCAATCCTGTGTACAGCATGATCCAGAACCACATATCATACCTTTTTTCAATGAACATGTTCTAGGATCACAACATCGTTTATGTGTGCAAGTCTGTAAACAAATGGTAACTATTACTTAATCATAATTACATACCATCAAATAAAACTGCAACATAAGAATTCTTTACAAGGTCAACAAGACAGAAAATAACAAGTGCTGGCGAGGTTGTAGAGAGATTGGGACTCTCATACACTGCTGGTGGGACTGTAAAATGGTACAACCATTGTGGAAAGCAGTATGGCGATTCCTTCAA